TTCTTATAGGTCAGGTCTGATGTTGATGGAATTCCTCAGATTCTGTTTGTCTTTGAAGGTCTTTATTTCTCCCTCATGTTTGAAGGATATTTTCACCAGATATACTATTCTAGTGTAAAAGATTTTTTATTTTCTTCAACACTTTAAATATGTCATGCTCCTCTCTCCTGGCCTATAAGGTTTACACTGAGCAATCTGCTTCCAGACATATTAGAACTCCATTGTATATTACTTGTTTCTTTTCTCTTCTGCTTTTATGATCCTTTCTTTATCCTTGACCTTTGGGAGTTTGATTATTAGATACCTTCAGGTGGTCTTCTTTGGGTTAAATCTGTTTGGTGTTCTATAACCTTCTTATACTTGACTATTGATATCTTTCTCTAGATTTGAGAGGTATTCTGAAAATATCCCTTTCAGTAAACTTTTGTTTTTTGGGGTTTGTTTGTTTGTTTGTTTGAGGCAGAGTTTCACTCTTGCTGCCCAGGCTGTAGTAAATGGCATGATCTTGGCTCAGTGCAACCTCCACCTCCCGGGTTCAAGCAATTCTCCTGCCTCACCTCCTGAGTAGCTAGGATTACAGGTGTCTGCCATCGTGCCTGGCTAATTTTTTTTTTTTTTTTTTTAAGTAGAGATAGGGTTTCACCATGTTGGCCAGAACTGGGTCTTTTCCTTCAAGACAGGTTCCTTTTCTGGCCCAGGGTATGTCTAGAAATGTCTGGAAGCTAGAGCTTAGAATGGGGGCCTCAGGTCTCTGCCTGGTCCCTTGTCCTGCTATGGCTGACCTGGTTTCCAAGATGCAAGACTTAATCCTCTTTACATTTCTCTCTCCTCTCCTCAAGCAGAAGGAAGGTGTCACTTTATTTGCTGCAAGCTGTGCTGCCTGGGGTTATTGAGGTGGTGACGCAAGCCCTCCCTTAGCCATCCCCACTAATGTCTCACTAGGTCACATGCTGCCCTAGTCCACTGGCTCTAAGCCCAGTCCAGCACTAGGATTTGCCTAGGAATAATTGCAGTCTTTGTGTCCCAGACTGCCTTTCAGGTTTATCTAGAACCACCACCCGCCCAGAGCACTTTAGCCCACTGTGGCATGGCTTGCTGAGAAACTCAAGTTCTGACTGCTAGGATGGGCAATTCCCCTTTGGCTAGGGCTGATCCAAATGCTCCCTCCATGGGTAGGCAGTGGCTGAGCCCAGCACAGTTTGGCTCTCTGCTGTCACAGGACAGCACTGAGTTCAATGCCAGGTCACCCACTTGCTGTGCTTTGCCTCTCCCATAAGCACAGATTCTCCACAGTACATAGCTGCTGCTGGAAAGTAGGGGAGGAGTGGTGTTGGCGAATCAAGACTGTCTTTTCCAACCCTTCAGTGCCTCTTTCAGAGAGAGGAAGTTAAAACCAGGAAGTGTGATTGATTACCTGATTGTTAGTTCCGATGATGGTGCTATTTTATGTGTAGATAGTTGTTAAAATTTGGTGTTTCTGTACAGGGGAATGATCGGTAGAGGCTTCTATTCAGGCTTCTATTCATCTTGCTCCACCTCAGAACTATTGTATTTTCTTATTTGAGAATGAAGCTTCATGTTTGCATAAAGAAAAAGTTTGTGTGTATAATTTATTTTGATTTAAAAAAGTAACTTCCATGTTGTATTTCCAGGTTAAAAAGTGAAACTCTGGAGTACTACAACCATGGATAACTCAGTAATCCATTCAATAAATGTTTATTAAATGCTAAATATGTCACAAGCCCTCTGTATGATGCCGAGAGTACTGTGGTGAACATATGAGGCAAGGCCCAGCACCATGTCGTACCTATGAGATATAAGTCAGTCCATGACTTGATCCAATGTGAGGGCTCCACTTTTCAACTGTGACCTCCATTAGTCTTCTTGCCACATGTTGCTGGAGCCAGAACAGAGACCCTGAAGCATTTAGGCAGATAACAGACAATGTTCAGAGGAACAGGGGGAGGGAGGGCAGGCATTTGCCAGTCTATGTTAAGGAAAGCAAAACCTCCCTTGCAATACAATCAATAGACTTTAACATTAAAATAAACTTGGAGCAATTGCAAACATAGTGACAGAATTGACTGCTTTGAGAAAAGCAGTTGATGCGTCCCAGCTATAAAGGCACTGTATAAAAAGAATGTTGGGTTAGACCAACTGGAGAGGATCAGCAGAGCCAGAACAGTAGGAAACCATCTGAAGACAGGTTTCCTATTCACAATGATTAAATTCATCAATACCTGATAAGGGGAGACTGGACATTCATGTCAGAACTCACTGTACACGAACTGCAGTTTGCTGTATGTAATTATTCTCAAGTAAATTATAGAGTAATCTATGTATGTTCTCATGTTATAGTACAAACTGGATCATTTTGTGTCCCTTTTTTGTCATTCAAAGCCATGTATTAAAGACTCTCCAGATTGAGATCTTTGCAGGCAGGGACTACAGTTTATCATGTTTACTGCTATATCCCCAGGACCCAGTACATGTCCTGTGCATAGACCATTGTCTGTTTTCTGGCTGCCCAGGCCTTTTGAGCACCCTTTCCTGTTTAGGAAATGTCTTACCTTATAAATACTACCTCTCTAAAGTAAAACCAGAAAACACATTTACCCAGCTTTCCTTGCAGCTAGAGGCATGATACCTAGGCTTCACCAACCGGATGCACCCGCAAGAAACTTCCATTCAGAAGTGAACAACACAACACAAGGAAGCAGGTGTTACCTCAAATCCATTTTTTCCGGAAAGAGTAACAACTGAAGCATCAGGCTTCCTCCTCCAGGAAGCTTTCCCTGAACATTCCCCTTCATCTCCAGGTAGACTGAGCTAGATATCCCCCCTTTAGCTCTACTTTTTCATTGCACTTTCCTATTTGTATTATAAATATTAGCATCTTTTATTACCTTCTTATCGTCTGTAATAGTTAAGATGATACTAGCTGCTCTAACAATAAACCAAAAATATACGGTGAATCAAACACAATAGAAGTACCTTAAATAACTAAAAATAGATCTACCATTTGATCTAGCAGTCCCACTCTTGGATATCTACCCAGAGGGAAATAAGATACTTGCACATGCATGTTTACAGCAGTACAATTTGCAATTGTGAAAATATGGAACCAGCCCAAATGCTCATCAATCAATGAGTGGATTTAAAAAATGTGATATATATACACCATGGAATACTAGTCAGCCATAAAAAGGAACAAAATAATGGCTTTCATAGCAACCTGGATGGAATTGGAGACCACTATTCTAAGTGAAATAACTCAGGACTTAAAAAAAAAAAAAAAAAAAAAAAAAAAAAAAAACATTGTATGTTCTCACTCATAAGTGGAAGCTAAGCTATGGGGACACAAATGCATAAGAGTGACACTGGACTTTGGGGACTCAGGGGAAAGGATGGGTGGGGGGTGAGGGATAAAAGACTACACACTGAGCACAGCATACACTGGTTAGGTGATGAGTGCACCAAAATCTTAGAAATCACCACTAAAGCTGGGTGTGGTGGCTCGCGCCTATAATCCCAGCACTTTTGGAGGCCAAGGCGGGCAGATCACAAGGTTAAGAGATCAAGACCATCCTGACCAACTTGGTGAAACCCCATCTCTACTAAAAAATAAATAAATAAATTAGCTGGGAGTAGTGGCATATGCCTGTAGTTCCAGCTACTCAGGGGGCTGAGGCAGGAGAATTGCTGGAACCAGGGAGGCAGAGGTTGCAGTTAGACGAGGTCATGCCACTGCACTCCAGCCTGGCAACAGAGCAAGACTCCAGCTCAAAAGAAAGAAAAAGAAAAAAAGAAAAGAAATCACCACTAAAGAACTTTCTCATGTAACCAAACACCACCTGTTTCCCAAAAACCAATGAAATAAAAAATATGTTTAAAAAAGTTTCTTTTCTAATCATATTATGTCGAAACAGGGTACTTAGGATGAGCAGACAGCTCTTCTGCAAGTGATGATTCTGGGATCCAGGCATCTTTCATCCACCTTGTGGCTCCACCATCTGTACCACATGGCTAAAGGGTACCATTCCCATCTGAATCAGGCTGGAAGGCAAAGGGCATGGAGAATCACACACTGTGGGGCTTTATAAGCAAGGCCCAGCAGTGATGCTGATCATTTCTATTCATATTCTATTGCCCAGAACTCAGCTTCATTGCAATCCTTAAATGGAAAAGGCAATCTAGCTTCCTTCAGGTAAGAATACATCAGCATTAGAAAGTCATAATACTGTTGGGCACAGTGGCTCATGCCTGTAATCCCAGCATTTTGGGAAGCCAAGGCAGGAGGATTGCTTGATCCCAGGAGTTTGAGACCAGCCTGGACAACATACTGTAGAAATGAGGTCTACAAAATAAAAAAAAAATTTAATGAGGCAGGAGGATCACTTGAGTCCAGGAGGTTGAGGTTGTAATGAGCTGTGATCATGACACTGCACGCCCACCTGGATGACAGAGCAAGACCCTGTCAGGATGAAAGAAAGAAAGAGAGAGAGAGAGAGAGAAGAAGAGAGAAAGGAAGGAAGGAAGGAGGGAAGGAAGGAAATGAAGGGAAGAAAGAAAAAGAAAGTCATGATAAAGTGCCATATCTTAACTTTCTGTCATTTCTCTTGCTTCCTTCTTCCTTTTTGGGAAGGAAGAATGACCAGTGCTAAGGCTAATATACTAGCCCTGTGCAAATCACAGATGTGACCCTGATCTGGATTCCTTTTACTTGGCTCCCCCTGCTTTTATGCTAAGCATTTCTGTTTAGGGGGCACATATTCATTGGATAGTTATTTCTGAATGCTTTGCCTGAAATTGCTTTTATCTCCAGGCTCCCCATGTGTCGGTTTGAAAGGGAAAGTGCTTAGCATGCAGCCTGGGTGCCACATGTGTTCCGAGATGCTGGCGCATGGAAGGCTTAGGAGGTTCCAAATCATTGCCTGTTGGCCACCCACAGGCTAACGAAGGAAATGTCTTTTCATTTTCTCTGCTTCTCCCGGACTTAGGTGCCTTATCAGCAGCCAAGGAGAGCTGGGAATACGATTCTGGTGCCAGGGACCTTCAGAGCCCGGATGTGCAGAGCCAGTCAGCCCTCCAGAAGCTGCTCGAGTATGGCGGAAGCTCTTTGCATCAGCAGGCTGCCCTCCACAAACTGCTCACACAGTCCCTGCATGTTGGCAACTCTGTAGGAGGAAGCTACCTAGAGCTGGCCAACACGGTGAGTACTTTTTGGTTCATGGAACACATCTTTCAGCCTGTCTGTATTCCAATACAAATATTTTAATTTTGAGCTCCAGGGGACATATCGGGTATTTTCTTCTTTATTGAGGTAAAGACTGTACCATTTCCAGCACTGTCAGTAATGTTTAGTGCTACAAAGTTGCCAGCACTTAGGAACTTCACTCTCATCAAGACCAGACTAGACTCCTAAAAGGTATTTTAATTAAGGCTGTAACTTGCACAGGTTTAATTACTAGAAGAGGCACAATAGCTCTTCCATACTAGAATACTTGTATGGTTGTAGGCGTTACAAATTCATAGGATATACTTGTTTCTGTACCCTAATTTGGACTTTACTCATTCGAAAAACAAAAAGGAAAATATGGCATTGAAGGTTTCTTGTTTCTGGTTATACTTTAAGAGTATTTTCTGTTGAAAACTGTGGGGCAACTTAGAATGTCATTATGTGTAGTTTACCTTCCTTTTTAACTGCAAGATGAGTCACTATAACAGCAACCTTTGGGCAAAGAGCTATTGTTTTCTCTTCTAAGTCAGGGCTGCTAAATGAAGTGGGTGGCTGATGGCCTGGCCATTTTGGGTGACATGCAGACAGTACAAATTGAGATTGCTATCCATCCAGCCACTGTGGAAAAGGTCCAAAAGCCTACCTGGCTTTTTGAAACTAAAGTTCAAATGGTAGACTAAGCATCACAATAACCTTGACTCACACTTCTTTACTGTCTGCTTTGATGTAGACCAGTGGTTCTCAAACTCTTTGTGTCTGAAGCACACTTTCTAATTCTAACACTTTTGGTGGGATGTTGGAAGGAACTAGCAATTGTAAATACGGTGACAGTAATTAAAACATAATCATCAGAAAAATCCCAATTAAATGACATTCTACAAAATACGCAACCAAAACTCCTCAGAACTGTTAAGGTTATCAAAAGCAAGGAAAGTCTGAGAAAGAGAAATTGTCCACCTAAGAGAAGCCTAAGAAAAATACGATAACTAAATGTGATGCATACCCTCAATGGGATCCTGGATTAGAAAAAAAGAGGGCATTAGATTAAAACACACATGCATGTGCACATGCACACACACACACACACACACACACACACACACCAGGGAAGCCTAAATAAAGTATGGACTTAATAAGTTAATAATAGTGTATCAACATCAGTTCATTAATTGTGACTAGTATACCATAATAATGTAAAATGTTAAAAATAGAGAAAACTATTTGTCAGGTATATGAGAACTCTCTCTCCTACCTTTGCAAATTTTGTCTAAAACTTTTTTTTTTTTTTGAGACAGAGTTTCACTCTTGTTGCCCAGGCTGGAGGGCAGTGGTATATTCTCGGTTCACTGCAACCTACGCTTCCCAGGTTCAAGCAATTCTCTTGCCTCAGACTCCCAAGTAGCTGAGATTGCAGGCACCCATCACCATCCCTGGCTAATGTTTGTACTTTTTTTTTTTTTTAGTAGAGACAGGGTTTTACCATGTTGGCCAGGCTGGTCTCAAACTCCTGACCTCAAGGGATCCACCTGCCTTGGCCTAAAACTATTATAAAACAAAAAATATATTTAAAACATATAAACACACACAATCACTGCTATGGTATGATAATGTCTTGTAAAATCTATAAAAACATTCATAGTTACTGCACTGTTTGTTACATGGCCACACCTCAAAGACATTCTTGCCCAGTTTAAGTAGAACTCTAACGATCCTAAACTCGCCCTCCTATGTGCTCAGAAGATTAGGCAATTATCAGTAAATATGTCATCTTTCTCTGGCATAGGCCTGGACTTAGGCTATGCCTGCTTCAAATAATTTGCAGCGAAAGTTGGACCCTCCTCTGTACTACATCAGCTCAGCATTTTCTCAAGACATACATTGCCATAACAGGATGGGTTATAGCAGAAATCAGTGTTATACAGAGATCAAAATTTGATGGTACCTTCTCTGGAGGGTTCCAGGTTCATGGCCCACCAGTTTTCTGCAGCAAACCTACTATTGAAAACTGTGGGAGTTGGCTGTTTTCTACCTCTGTATAACTCCATGGTTCTCAGCTTCTACAGTAAACTCCTGGATTAATTTCAATTTTTCTGTCTCTCCTGATCAGAGGCCAGCTCAGCCCTTAGGGTTCCCAGAGCCAGGTTCTCTGAGTTGGCTGTTGAGGGGAGTCAAGGCACAGAGAGCTCTCAAATACCCCACAGTCATATGTAACCCTCTTTTTACATTACTGGTTAAGCTCTGCACACTCACTTAAGGTGATCCCTTGGCAACAACTGAACCATAAATGCAAATGCAGGCACTGAAGTCCTATGACAGTGATTACACTATATATTTCCTCACCAAATGGAAAAGTAACATTTTAGAAATATCATTTGAATTCACAGACCCATTATTAATGCCCATGGACCCTGTGTTAGAGACATTTTGGGGCCCAGTTCTTCATACTTCCCTGTGTCTTCACCATTTGTCATACAACTTGAGAGTCCTACTGTCAGACATGTGAGAGTGATATATGATGGCTATTTTAACCATTGTGTTTGCGGTGGTTTGTTTCATAGCTGTAGTGACTCAGGGTTTCCTCAGAAGGGTCTATAGAGCCTAAGTTGAGAAATATCCTTCCCAGGTGGCCAAAGAAAGCAAATAGTCCCTCTAAACTACACATTTGGGCAATCCCTTTATTTATATAATCACATTAAAAATAATTTATGTCCCTTCTAAGGAAAAATCTTGAACTAACAAAATTAAGTTTCATATATTTTTTTCTTTTAAATAGCTACTAAGAGCAAAAGGCATTTTATTAGTGTCTAGTTCACACAGGGAAAGTTTAATATAAATGATTATTAACTAGTAGCAGAGGATTGCCTACTAAGGGTAAAGAAAACCGTAATGAACACAGGAATAGAACATACAAAGAACAGCCACTACCCCTAAGGCCACTACCCCTAAGCCACTACCCCAAGGAAGGAGTACAGGGGTACAGGGAAGGAACAAATTTGGAAGAGGGCCCTCCCCTCACCCAGGGCTGATTCAGACCCCTTTGAAAGGAAGTCTGTGGCCAACTGAATTGCAGAGAATTTACCTGATATGTTGCAGGCCAGGGCTGGCAGCAGGACACCAAACTTCTGAACCTCTGGTCCAACCTCCTGGGATGCCACCCATTGGGGCATCTGCAAGACTCATCAGACATCACTGAGGTGTCCACTGGGGTGCCAGAGGGATTCACTGGGAAGCTGCCTGCTAGAGTGGTGGGACACCCACTGAGAAGTCCCCCAAATGGTGCCACTGAAACTTAATTGGGTGAGTCACTAGATGTCCTATGTGCTGACTCCTACCCACCACAAGAGCTAGCAAGGGAGAGCACAACAGAGTCAAGCCACAACAGTCAAGCTGAGTTCCCTTCTTCCTCCAGTGTCCCTCCAGCACCTTCTATTGACAAAGGATAAATGTTTACAGAGTCCAGCTCCAAGACCACAAAACAGAACAAAGAAAGCTGGATTTGGAGATGAGAAGCAACAAATGATAACTAGCACAGGCATTTTTAGCCTTGAGGATTTTCTGGGAGATTCCTACATAAGCTTTTTACCTTTCTAAGCATCTCTTCCTTTTCTTCTACCACCAGTGACCAGTCTTCCTTCTACCTAAGATAGTGGGCACCACAAGGTTTAACATACTGTTCACAATGCAAAGGCAATAAGACAATGTTGTACACAGATACTTATAGCAGCCATGGTTTTATCCAAGAAGCAAAATGGCCACACATTATACAGAGTAAGAGATTTATTATCACAATACAATTGTGCATTATCTTACACAAATGTGAGAGCTGGTGATGCAATCTATGGAGGCTATTGGTTCTGTATCCAGTGTTGCGCCTGAAGTTACCATAGGTTTGTCAGATCAGCTGTTAGGAGGGAAAGCTGGATGTAGAGGAGAGTAGGGACAAACTGGAACTCATGAGGACCAATGGGACCATTGAGGACAAACTGGAACCCTCTTCTGTGTCTTACCATGTCCAGCCTTGATGCTATGGGTGACCTGCAGGAGAAACTGGCACTTTTTATTTCCTACAGTGTGTCTCCTGCATGCACACTTCGCCCAGGACTCAAGAGAAGCTGAAGGAGGAGATTTGGTGAGTTAGAATTTCTGCAAGCCTGGTGCACCAAGTAGTTAAGCAGCAGATTAGTAATATGTGTGCAAGTGGACAAAGCGCATAGTATCTGCCATGATTTGATTATTTTTCCCTCCAAAATTCATGTGGAAATTTAGTTGTCATTGTAACAATATTAAGAGGTGGGACATTTAAAAGGTGATTAGGCCATGAGGGCTCCACCCTCATGGGTGGGATTGGTACCATTTTAAAAGGGCAGGTTCCTCTCTCTCTCTCTCTTTCCCACTCTCTCTCTGTTTCTGTTTTTCTCTTACCTTCTCTTTGTCCTACTCTTTCACCATGTGATAACACAGTAAGAAGTCACCTGCAGATGACAGTGCCTTGATATTGGACTTCCCAGCCTCCAGAACTGTGGAGGCAATAAATTTCCATTCATTATAAATTTCCCAGTTTCAGATGTTCTGTGATAGTAGCACAAAACAGACTAAGACAGTACCCTGCACCAAGTTTCAGAGCATAAAAAGACTTCTTTACTTCTTTCTTTTGGATTTCACACAGAATGTCTCTCATGGCCATAAAGAACCGTACAGGAAGGAGAACTCTCATGAGTATGGTTCTAGCTGAGCTGAATTTAGTACTAAGTCACCACAAAGCAGCAGCAAAACTCAGTGTAATCTAATCCCTATTCATAAAACTATGGGTTAAGCAATATGAGGTATTTTAAGAGTTTGGTAAAGAGGGGATGCAGTTGGAAAAATATGCTGGCTGTTTTCTGATAGTTTTTTCTGGAAAGATTGTATTACCATGGAAGAACGCAAGTACAAATTACAATGTTATCGATTCTGAGTAGTAACATACTTAAGTA